CGAACCACATCTGAATTTTATACTCAGTAGTGTTTCCGTCCTATCGAGTAGAATTTTCAGCTGTGGTTTAGTTGCACGTCTATCCGACGAAACTAGGTTAATTGGGGATGCTTGAGCACAGCTCACAAGCTTGCCCAATCTTGGTCGATCCGATTTTGAGAAGACGCTGTTTGAATTTTTCACAGTTGAAGCAGTCTGCTGCTCGCTTTGATAGGGATAATACGATTGAATTCTTTGCATGTCTCCTAAAAGCTGAGACCCAAGCAGTTAGTCCAAATGTGTCGTGTCATCGCCCTGACTGATAATTGTGACTTGTTTTTCTCGACCAGCGAAAGGTCGGGACAAAGAGGCTTGCTTGCTCCACTGCAAACACGCAAACGATTCAGGAGGGTGTGTGGACGGGCTTGTGAGCTGTGATCACCCCTTGCCATTCTAAACAGTTGCGTCGGCTACAAGTGCAACTGAAACGCAGCTGAAAACTCTACTCAGCCGTCTTAGTGTATCACCTGGTCTGTTCTCCAAAACCTATGGTTTATTCAAACGTAATCCTAGAAAGCTGCCTATACGTAATCCGGTAGGCTGCAAGCCTTGAAATGCCTCACCACGGTCCGGAGTGAGGGTTTCGATACTGGCATTTTACCACACCGAGCACGTCCGAGAATTCTTCGCTCCCTCCACTCAATGGACCTGCCGCCAGGGCCTTTACCAGGGCAGTCCTCGTAACGAGAGCATTTTCATTTAAGCGACAGCGTGACGAATATTCGGATTTTGTTCAGGCACCTATGACTGATGCGAAAGGATGAGATAAGGTTACTGGTTGCCAAGTTGGCGACAAAAATGCGGGCCCAAATGTGTCATATCCTAAGGGGAATAGGGTTACATTCTGGTCATATAGAAATTAATTGATATCCCTTCCGGAAGATTCCGGTCGTTTCCACAGAAATCCTGACATGCTATTGGATTATTTTCATCTCTTTCTCTCTCCCTCCGTAAGTCGAACAATCAGCTAGAAGGTCATACTCAGCAAAGATGCTTGAGTGAAGTTAGTAGCATGAAAATTATCCAAGAGAAACCAAATGGCTGATCGACCAGGATTGTTTGATCCTATTCAAACTGACCATGCACATCGACGACAATGAGGGCACCCAGAGTTATTCTTTCGCCACTTGTCAAAGGACCACGAACAAGTCGCACAATGTCGTCTATCTGTTTGTCACATTTGACCCGATACTCAGCCAGTTTACCAGTGCCCATAGACTCCTGAACTTCCTCCGTCCAATAGATACACGATACACAAAGAACCACCTGAAACGAGACAATGAAAGCTCCATATATTAAAAGGTTCCTCATTGCAATCAGATAACAAATTGAGAGATGTATTTCTTGATCACTAAATGACTAAAAAATAGCCAGCATCACATATAAATGAATGAGGCTTCTTATCGAACAGAAGTTAATTGATGATACGTACACTATCAACAAACAAGCTGTCTCACCAACTAATTGCCAAGCGGTTTGGTTTTTATTCATCAATCTGTTTCGCTTTTATTATTTGTGACACAAAAGGGTAATAACACGAGCCAGAGGAATACTACTGCGGGTTTGTAAAAAAAGCGATTGTTTTTCACAAGTTGTTTTTGGGCACGTACTTGTCCAGGCCAATCCAGAACCCATTTCTCTCTGGGAGTTTCCGAATAAGCGTACACGCTATCTGAAATGACTTTTCGAAGACTGCTTAACATGACATCCTCGACTTGAAGTAGCCACTTTTCGACCATTCCCTAAAATGACAAACAGAACGAGTGCGTAATCACTGGTTTGAAGTGAAACATATACGACCAACAGCGTTGAAAAAAATTGTATGACAACGTACGGGTACAAGGCTGGTTGCCAGATTATTATCCAATCTCATTAGAATGGAAGTCACCAATCACCCGCTGGAATGGTTTAGAATATTACCAACATTTAAAACAGACAAGGCGGGGGAATTCTAAGTTTGCGCTTTCACTCTCACGGCTGAGTACATAAGTGCACTTGTTCAGAGCCTTTTTGTGCTTTGTAAACTTCTTATTTAAAGTGCTTTATTTTCATAAACCATTTGCCCTAGGAATATATTGAAAACAATGGGTTCATCAGTATTTAGAGTATTTGCGAAACTGTCATTCAAATCAATGTGACAAACACAAATGAGACACTTGTAGCCGAAATGCTGAACAAGAAAGCTCTTGCATGAGATGGATTTCAAACAAGAATACCAGATGAGCTTGCCTGATGAACGACATTAACGGTGAGACCAGTCTTGTGCTTCCAGAGCCTTCTTATATCATATTTCACACTCATCTGAGACCAGACTGAATGCGAAACAAATCACGGTACCATAATTCTTATAACAAATAAATAGATCAATGATTTGCTCGTGAGCAAATTAATATTAGTTTTCCCAAGCCAAAATAAGTGAATTTCCTTGGGGAATCCAAAACTGGGGCCTTCGGCTCACAGAGTTGAAGGGACAACGTTTGTTAACCACAATTCAATGGGAACCGGTTTCCAGTTGATCGAATTATACACCCTTTGGGCGGGATCAAATGTTCAAGGTACTCAACATACTTACGTACCCAATCAGACCAGCGACTACTGCCAAAACCAGAAATCTATAGTCATTTAGGTGCCACTTATTTGCAAAATACTTATGCGAATAAAGGGTGAAATGTGAATTGCACAAGAATGCAAGCGTGGATGTGAATGTCGTCCCATTTTACCTTGGCTTTGGCTGGGTAGATCTTAGTGACAAATGGGACAGTCTCACCCTCGGCTGAAGTCATTCCAACAATTTCTTGCTGTTCGGTGAATGAAAGACGACTGATACCTGGAGCAGACAGTGAGACGAGAAGAGATACATTTTACCAGACTGTATGACGGACATGGGATGGTATATTTTATTTCATCACACAGCCAATAAGAATGAAACAATACCTTCGAAGCATTTTTTGAGATGCGGTTGGACACGTTGTGGATCTTTCGTTTCTGACAAGATCTCCAACAATTCATCATTCGATAGGAAAAAGAAGCTGAGTGGAAGATGAAAGAGGTCACAACATAATACATTTATTCAGATATCGTTATAAGAGGGGTGAATACAAAAGGTCTGTAATGCCTTATTATAAGCTGAGAAGAGACAGTTGGAATTGTATGAAACATTAACAAGCGAAAACATTGAATTAACCCTCGAGGCCCGAAATTAATAATCCTAGATTAAACTGTGCGTTGTTGGTAACACTAGCCCCGCTCAATTTAGCCAAAGCTATTTCGACTGCTTGTAAGTCAATATATAAGCATTGGTATACGACTGAAAGGAAAAATATTCACCAGGAGCACACGACCGGTTTCGCAGTCCTTGCCGCTCGTCAGGTATGCGTACCCCGTATTCTTATATCTGGTAATTATTATACCTGAACTATCGATGCGAACTAGGCAACTCAAATCCCATTTGCATCTCGGGAAGTGGATTCGAGACGAATAGGTCTCAAAGAATCATTACGATGATTCTGTATTAGGTGTTGTCGCTTAGATGCAGCCAACTCAACACCAGGGCCGACTTTCAGTGTTCTTATAATCAATAATACATGAATATATATATGTACCAACTTTGGGACAAGCAAGGTGCAAACACAACAAAAGCGACGATGAAACGAGGGGTCAGTGAGTACGGATGAGGAAAATGAAGGTAAACCGTTTGCTAAAAACACTTCAAGAATAAAAATGCTTTTCAGTCTGTTTCATAGTACACGTTTTGCTCATTTTAATTATCAGAGAATCTTCCTGTGGTCACCTGGTTTTGAAAATGTGGTCCAAAAACTCGAGAAAATCATGGAATCAGTTTAAGTTGCGCGGAAAAATTCAATTCACGCTTTACATAACGGCCTTTTGGAATGCAAAGGAACCGGGTCGGTTGTCAGAATCCAGAACGGGCAGAATTCACTAATTATAGACTTCAGTTATCGACACTGATTTGCAAGTACTCAATTTATAGCTGAATTTGTTTGGATGAATTGTTTTGTATGGTATATTCATCGCATACTTTCAACAGCCGACAAAATAAAGTGCGTGGTATCACCGGAGGGCGATGAATACGACAAGCGGGTGCTATGCCCATAAAAAGAACAAGGAAAAAGAATGTCAGTGTAGAATTGTGGACTGGACGACAATGCGCCAGCAAATTACTAATTGGAGTTTGCTTAACTGAATTTCACTGTACGATGCTACTGCTGCCGCTGACAGATTATGAAAATGATTATGATGATAACGTGGGAATTGACTCGGATAATAATGATGAACAAATCTTAAAAGATAACTTTCAAGAGGAAAAAGTTCAACAATTCCTTATTCAAACAACCTATGAGGATTTAACAGGTTTATGCGCTGTCACCGATTCAACTTAACCGAGCTCCTGTATCGACAATTTATGCTATACTTACCGAGGAAAATACAAACGCTTCTTTTCCAGATAGTCATTCAAACCTTTCTGGATCTCCTCCAAAAGGATGTGTGCATCAGTCAGTCGGCGTAACATGTCTCTTTGATCGGTGGCAACTAGGCAACTGGGATTCACAGCTGCTTCTGTCATCACTTCACGCCATAGAACATCGACCACTCCGAATTTGCGACCCTCCTCAGGCATTTGAGCCAGAATATCCTCTGAAGAGAATATTGGTTCAAGATACAACCAAGTGGCTTGTACCTGTGCGATGAAAAAAATGGAGGGTAATAATAACAAACTGCGGGAAAAGATCAAGCGCCCTCGTTATAATTCATTATATACTAATTTTAACCCGGGAGTTTTTTTCCTTCGGCATTAACTGGGTATTCTACAAACACCAATCTTCAAAAGGAACCTTATTTTGTTGCATATACAGTCACTGATCCGTTTCACACGAGACGTGTACCAAGGAACACTAGTACATTCCTTTTTTTAATTTTCCGTCCATGTATACGGACTCGCTATCCAGCTCCCGATTTATCCGTTTGGTGCTTAATGCTCTATCTGTCATCAGCTACTTTGAATTCACGGAATCTATTTTTTTATCCTTTTTTCAATCGGAGAGCCACATAATTTGGACAGGAATTCGTCACTTCCAGAGAATGGAATCCTAAACCGTACTTCTACAATGCTTCTTATGTATGTGATTTTTTGTTGCTGAGACATCGATTTCCCGGTGAAAACCCTCCACGCCGGCAGATCCCATCGCTGATCTTTCAGTAAAGCAATGCGCATTCATGACTAACAGTAAAGTGACTATTCCTCAATCCTCGACCGGAAGACCCACTCGGTAATGCAGTTCTGCCGGTCATATCACATAATTGTCATTTTTGAAGGGATATTCATCAACGCAAGCACATCATGGTCGAAAATCGCTCATTCGTCCTTCTGAGGAATACTGGAAATCAACAAGGGTGTTGAAGGGATTTAATTCTTCATAAACCCACCTGATGGTTCGGTGTTCAGTATTCAAATGAAGGCTGAGAGATAAGTTTCACAGGCCTGCTTACTTTGAGCCAAACATCGAGGATGTCGTTCATTGAGATCAGTTTGCTCTCCCACGCAGCCATTTCCGCTTCGAACGGTTTGATGTACGGGGAATTACGCATTGTTTGTGCTTTGATAATGTGATCGTCCAGCAAGACTTGAATGTCGTCGATCGCGGAGAGAATGGAAATACCCTAGAAGCAAAAGATACACGCGAAAGGAATTATTACATAGATATAGATATGACGGTATTGATTTATGGTTTTCTGATATATGAGTTGAGTCTCAAAACCAAAATCTCCTCGAGTAAAGTTAAATTACTAATCTGAGAATATACAGCTACTGCAAATTTAAAATGAAATAGTGAAACTCATAGATAAAGTGTAGAGGTTACATGGCTTTATGATTAGTCGAACATGTTCAGTTCACCAGCAATCAGTTGGATGTCTAAAAATAATTCAAGGGAAACATGTGTAACAAAACGATATGTATGACTGATTTGTGGCCAAAATATTGATAGCTTCAGAGTATTTGAGGTTTATCGATTGTACAACAGCCATAAACAAATGGGTGTCGTGTCGTCCATTGGTATGAAGCACGAGGAGCGCAAAACAAACTTGAGATCAAGATTAAGAATTTCATGAAAAGTCGCTTAGACACATGCAACCACACATGGAATTAGACAGAAGAACGTGTAGAATTATTTAGGCGTTAGCTTTTCCAAGTGGATTGTTGCTATACGATTAAACCCTACGAAGCGACATTCTATCTGCGAAAATAATATCACTCCAGTTCTAAGCGTGGAACCCCTCAAACACATTTCAGCTTATCTAATACAAACTTATCTACCAAACGTTTATGCGTGTGCTTTCACATCGCGAAATATCTTTTTCGATCAAAGCCATCCTCTTGGGCTGGCAGTGACTACAATTTATCCACTGTTCATATGCAAATGTTCGTTCTTCTGGCTATTCGTCCTCTGCTAACTTTCATTTTCCTGTAGACAAACATTTGCGGTTGCCAAAATCGGACTACATCTTCCCATACATCATCATCAACTATATGAAACTGCACATCAGTGTAAGAGTTCTTTTGGCAACCAGATTTGGGTCACAGCTTCACGTGATTTATTAGGAGTATTTGCGAAGCACATTGTCATCCCTTCATCAAAAAATAGTTCCCAAACTCGTCAAGATTGTCTATTTCATGTCAGGATTCATGTCATTTGAGGTCGTGTCAGAATGACCATCACTTCCAGTGCGATTGCTCCATCGTTTACCATCGTCTCGTCCCTCTCACCCGTGACCTTAAACAAGTAAATTCACTCTGACCCTTTCTGTGATCTGATTGGATCATATTCCGCGATCTGCGGCGCTTAAAACCTCTCAACCCAACATGAAACTGTCCGATTACCGACTTGTACGTTTTGTGCGTCCAGTCCATCCTTGGCACTCCTGCTGCACAGTCAAAGTTCACTGTGACTTACGGCTGTAAACAAGGTGTAGTTTCTCACTCGGGTTAGCTGGGTAAGCACAAGATAACTTGTCGCTTAAGCTTTATGCGAGAATGAACGAAGCCCGCGGCAACTGACCTCGGTCTGTCGGGTCAAGAAATACGCGTAGTGATAAAATAGATCGATAAATCGCCAAAGATGATTGGGCGTAAATGTGGACGTGATCAGCTAGATAGTCGGGTTCGGTATGAACTCTGAATGAACTGGAGTGCACAATTCTGCCAAGGCCGTGGTTGCCTCGTATGTTACCGTTTGTTTTGGTAGTAATACAATTTTCTGATCATTCAAAGATACATTTAACAAAGAACTTAACACTGGTTTCCTGAGCTTTTGGGGTTTCTTACTGAACCGTGTTACATTAAAAACACCAGTTTCTGAGATCAAACAAAACGAGAAACCTACTGTATCTCGATAAGGTAGAAGTTCGAACCGCATTTGACGCCACTCCTCTTTCATTTTGGCCATTGTGGTTTCCAGTTGGTGTTCTTTGGCCGCGGCAGCACCAACCTCTTCCAGTTGTTCCAAAAAGCCTTTCAGCCCGTACTCAAGAAATGTGATCAATTGTGTGTCTGGACTCGGTTTAATGTCAAAACCGACAATATCGCTCATTTGATCCCAGTGCCTCGATTGAATGCCCGGATTGCATACAACATGTATAATAGGCATGAACTGTTGAAATTTCGATAGTTTGGTCTGAATTCGGATTGGGGAGGGGAGCGGGGGGGGGGCAAAGATAGGGNTTCATCAGTCTATGCACCTTGAAAAGCAATCGATACCCATCCAGATGTTTTATTATCGCAGTAAAGATTTCCATGCAAAATCCCTGCCAATCAGATGATAACAAAACCATATCAACCCTACCTAATCGATTGCTTTTCCTATAGACCATTCAACGTCATAATGATTATAACTTTTTGCTTCAACAATGGGCTGTTTGACGTCAATCGGGAGTAGGGCTTCGAAATTTCCGATTCCCAAAGTGGACCGCCATTCTTATCGATTAAGGCTACACGATCATGGCATTGTTTAAACCTGTTGGGGCTTTTTCAGCCTTTCGGTAACCCATTCGAACGATCATTAAAGTAAGAAAGGAAATTAAGAGAAGAGTGGAGAATAGTAGTGAAGAGATACAGATTTTGGGTAAACTAGATGAGCCTACAGCAAAATACATTGAAAAAAATGTGTTTGTTCACTACCAACCTGGTAGTAAGTGAAACATACATACGAATAAGGATATTTTTAGTTCACAGACGAAGTATGTCACTCTGGTGGCTGCAGACCGGTGGTGTAACGTGCTCGAAAGTCGTCGCTATCGTGAGTTATTTAATCTGGTTCTCTTCATCTTTTTTCTTCTATAGAGTTTATCAGGACCCTCAGAAAGTAAGTTTCCATCATTTGCTCATGTGCAGAGTATTTTTGATATGGTCTGATCACTTCTAGGGATGTGTGTAAGCCAATGCTACACACTCCCTTGCCAAAACTCTCCGATTGAAGAAATTTTCGAGCGTAGCTGAAATAATTTAGCAATGTTTGTAAGATGAAATATATTCTTCGATGGGCTACTCATTGTCGATATCCCGTGTTACTGTCGGGGTGCAAATTTAACCGGGAGTTCAGATTTCAGACATACTTTATCTTTGCTACCTTTGAGATTATATAACTCGTTTCAGTGTCTGCTTTATTTCTGCAAGTCACCCAATTACACGAACTCCAAACCTACGCACACTGCATAAGACGGCAGACACTTATTTGGTTCAACCTCTGCAAGAAACTCGGCCTTACTGAAAAAAATGCGAACGGAGCGCGGCACAATACATCACTTCTTAACATGTACAATATACTCCCCGGGTACTAATGTAAAATTGAGGTGACGCCTCACGTGAGACCAGTTACATAACTACTGATGGTTGAAAATCTTTAGTGTATACCTGGTCGTCCCCAATGCTACAGGTTAAATATCAACTAAGTGCGTTGCGTTAAATTTCCAATTCAGTGGAAAGTTTCGTCCAAATCACATGTTTCAGTCTCACTCTTGAAGCCTCGGTGTCTTGATTCAACCCTCCAAGATAACGCCAGTCAAGGGGCTAGGCCTTCCAGTGTCTGGACCTCGGACCGCAGGCCTTTTAGTATCGACCATTCCAAGGACAAGCAGTTCAGACAGAAGGGGTGTGACTCGGAGACCAAGAAGTGCGATTAGCTGATGCCCGTTTAGCAAATGATATTTCTATTTACATATTATCGAATCCTATCGATTTCTTTCAAAAAAAGAACCGCTACTTTGTTGCTTTCTTCCTGCATCTCGGTGACTGCAGATTCCGGCATACGATTACCAGTACGATCCCGTGTGTCATCTGCGATTGCGATTCTTGTTTCGAGATTCGTGTCTACTTCAACCACTATATCGAGTCTCATGTTTTATTTATTCAACCATTATGGACGGGATCCAAGCTTTAACGAATGCTGCGAAAACTGGAACAGTTACAGGGTTTGTGGGATTTGTGACCTCTTTTTCATAATATGATAGTAGCATTTCAGTTTAACCGTTGTTAAACATTACAACTCTATGTACGGGACGGGGGGAGGGGGAGAATACCAACAAACATTCGACTTATTTTCCAATAAATTGAAAGATAACGGGAAGTCTCTAACTGTTTATGTAAATACCACTACTTTTCGATTCAGTCGCTCTCCTTTGTACAATCTCTTTGCCTAACACAAGTTACATTTCTTCTCACAATTTTCGAAAATCCAGTGGTATTGGGTGAGGTGAGTACGGTTTTGCTTACCTTCATCTTTTGCGCAACTTTTGCCGGTCCGGGTAAATCGGCCAACATTTTTGTCAATTTGTGCATTGTTTTGAACATGTCCCCCACTTGCTGTTCAATATCGAACGGATTCAACGTATGGTATGGAGCCTGAAGCCACTGACGGTTCATCGTGTCAAATTCTAGCGCAGTACGCCACAAACGATCGAAAGGATCCATCTGACGACGCAATTCCGTCAATTGGGGAAATTGTGTCTGTTCCCATTGGACAAGAGCCTCTTCCCTGGAAAACACAACAGAGAAATGTTAATGGGGCCCGAGGACTAAGGGCACCATGGAGGTTTTTCGTTCGATAAAAAGTTACGAGAAAGTTCCGCCGATTTAGTATTCGCGTGCTTTTCATTGAAACTGCAAACTGTTTCGTTAACACATTGGTTCGATTCTTTGTTCCGTGGCTTGTGGCTTGTGCTGCAAAAAGACAAAATAAAATATCTACAGTTTTGCTTTATTTCTAACGATTGATCGAATGGAAGGTTGTTGTGCGGGCTGTACCGTGTGGAGGTTGGCACTGCCTTTGATGGCGCTGATTGGCTTCGATTCCAACACGGGGATCACAGCGTAGGTCAATTTACCCGCTCCGTGCACGACAAATGCCGGTGCGGTGGGAGCGAAAGTAAATAACACCCGGTCACGTAAGTATGTGCCGGTAACGATTTCCAGTTTATGAGGCAAGTTGAATTACTGACCGGGTTACGTGTGTCATACCGTCGACTTTAGCGAGTAGCTAGCCAATCGAGGAAGTGGAGATAAAGCAGCACGAGTGGCCATGGATCATCCAGTGTATACGGTGTGCATTAACACCGAGCGTCACGGTGCGCGCATGGCTGACACCACTCTCCACAGCGAGAACAATGAGGAAATTCACAACCCTGGGATTGCCACAGCGATCTGCTTTAACCTCAACTTTTCTCAGCGCGAAATAACAAGTAGTTTTGAATAGTGTTATGTATGGATCCATAGAGAATTTTATACTCTTCCGGATAGGCTAACTGAAAGAACCAAGCGATCAAAAGTATTTAGTATTAAGGCTTGAAGACGGCACTGTGAAAATTTTCTCTTTAAAAATATTTTAAAAAAAATGAAAGCTTAGTTATTGTTTCGCAGTCACTATTCGAACGAAATAAACAGTTGCATACCATGGTATTATTTTAACTAAACAACTATAACTGTCATTTTCTCGTGGTTATTTACCCTTATTTCATCACTTTGAACAGTCATTAATGTTTCAAATCTATGCATTGCTCATGGATTTACGCTCGTGGTCATTTACTAGTGGTGTCGATTCGTTTCATGATTAACCAAAGAACTCATCCCAACAACCAGGACGCACTTTTTTCCGATCAGAATGGATGGTTTGAAAATGATCGAACCATCGGTGATGGGAAACAACCCAGAAAAAGCACACTGACAAAGGTCGCAAAGATCACAGAGAAAAACAAGCCTCAACTGAAAACTGGTGGCCGAGTAGCAACGTCACTAACTTATCGCCTCAGAGGGCGTGTTCGGAATCCACCACCACCGCCTGACTCTCCCTATTCTGTGTTGTACGATAGCCCTTTGATTGACCGCTTCCAATCTCCTGAAAATTGTTTCATTATAAAATCAATAAAAGGGTGAAAATGAAATAGAATTAGTGCGTCTGTGTGTTTATCAGCGCAGATGCGTGTTAGGACCAGGAACTAAATTCAGCGAGCGGATTATCAGTGTAAGGCATCATCGTTACGTCAAGTGCTTACGGTCCCAATCAAAGTTTAATTTGGGTAGCTGTGTTGTTGGGTCGATCGGTGAAGAATTATGTGTGAAGTCTAAAATGATCAGTGTAGGCTGAAGATTAAATAACCATGAGAACAACTACTGTTGTGCTACAGTGCAGCAAACTCCCAAGTTCAGTGAACCCACGTGGGCATCTTGGGTTGATTGTCAAATACGGTGAAACTCATGCAAAAATGGCAGATGCTTCTAACTTAACATCCTTGAGACATACGCGAGGTGTTCCATTTTGCAGTGAAAATGTCACAACGTTATATTTGACCGAACAAAAGTTAATGTGAACAGTAAAATGCGTATGCTATATTCACAGATGATTTAAGCTGTGGTAATGAGACACCGTAAATCTGAATTGGGTTCAAACATTAGAGATACAAAATGTCCGAACTAATTGTGGTTATCTTAGCCTACGAGATAACGCCAAACACGATATGATGAGTTATAGGTTCTGGGCGCCCAACCACAGGCCTATAGTTCCAAAAAATCAAAAGCCGTGCAATTCAAACAGAAGCAGGCCGTTGGCGAAGATCTATATAACCAATGACTTTTCTCTGTACATGTTATTTAATCTAATTGATTTTCCTCAATAAACTAACCACATCTTCTGTAACCTTTTTCTTGTGTCTCGGTGACGCAAACTTCCAGCCTACGATTACCAATATAATTCTCTCCTTCAGTTGCTTCAGTGATTCATAATTCGTACTTATTCCCATTGCTATGATAATTCTTCACGATTATGGTTTCGGAATCCTCCCTTTTTACACGTTTCGAATTGATACTTAGATCACAATGGAACAAGTTAAACGAGCAGTCTGCAGTTGGCTGATGGTAGGAGTATAGGTCGTCCACAATAGTCGGGAGGAATTCCTCGTTTGAAGCATGTCGGTCAATTCAAACCGTCTTCTCCCAAATCGCCATTGGCCATCAGCTTCAAGCTTACTCATCACGCTTCATCTCTTCAGCAACTGACTAACAACAACCATGCTAGCATTCGGTTGTCAAAAGGCTCCGCCCTAAGATTTTGGTACACTGCGACTAATCTGCACAGATTCGCACTTAAAGTTATACGTCACGACTTACTACCTATTGTTTTTCTGAGGGTAAAGTGTGCGTCACAATTGTAATATGAACTCATCACAAATTACTAATCACGAATTAGAAATCACAGGCTAGCAATCACGGACACCTCGTAAGTACTGGATCATACTGGTCCTAGCACGACAGTATCCCACGTAATCGAGATGCGAGGAAAAGGCCACAGGGATAGCAGTTCATTTATTGAGAGAAATCAAGGGGATTAAATAACATGTACAAAACAAATTCATTGGTCACCCAAGCCTCTGCCAATAGCGTGCTAGTATTTCTGGCTTTGCTCAGCTTCTGTTTGGGCAGCACGGTTTCTGATTGGTTGGTACAATCGACCTATGGTCTGTAGTCCAGAGGCTGTGACACATACGCGCTTTGCTGATGTCACCCGGGAAGCTTGATTGATCAAAGTTGTCCGAAAACTGTAACTTTTCGCTCCGTGGTGTGCGTCATCTCGTAGGCTAGGATCACCACAGTATGCTCTTAACTTCACCGAAGTAGTTGCGTATGATGTGTATATGTGTGTGATGCAATATGTAATAGTCAACCAGTAAAATGCGACCAAAAGTTGTCTTGGTTGACTACACAGTCCCGAGTTTTAGTTAAGTTTTTTTCTTTATGAAAATTGTACCATTCACACTGAAGTCAGTGGAAATATTCAATTTTGAAGTATTGGGAGCAAGCCTGACAAACATTCCGTTGTCGTAATAACTGACTGTTGAGTGAGTCCAAGGAATAGGCAAAGTTTCCCTGGATTCACTTAAATTGGTATATGTAGAGAGCAAATTCGTTCTGGGACTTACTTGTTCACCTGTTCTGCTTCCAGTGTCAACATATCCAAATCCGATTGAAATTCGTCCAAGATCTGTTTGGACTTGAGCATCTCATCCTGAGAGATCACTTCTCGTCGGCGCATTGTTGTAATCCGATCCCAACAGGCCAAAATTCGCGCTTCCAATGCGGATGTTCGGTTTTTCAAATCTTCCTCCGCAGCCTCACGTAGCATGTTCACTCGGGTAGAGGTTACATCCAGTACACTCAAAATATGTTCCGGCCAGTAGAACAAAGTCGAGTTCAGTTTGATATCATCCACTTCACGTGGTCCAAATGGGAAAGGCGAGCATATAAATTTGTGAGAAAAATTTAAAATGGAATTCAAGTTAGAAAAAATCTGAACGGAGGCTCTTCGACTGATTCAGGTCAACGTGAGGTGTCCAGTTGGGAATAGAATCTATCGATAGTATCATATATATATATCCGTCAGAGGGAGACAGCAGCATTCTATTCAGTTATTTCAGGCTGCTTAATTGAAGATGTTTTTATAGACTTAATAAACAGGCACTGTAAAAAGACACCCCAAAATGTCAGCGATCAGACTCAACACGATCGGTGCATCTTACAACGCGGTCCTGTATACGTAGCACTCATAACGCAATATGGAATTTTAGCAACAGTTGTCAGTAATTCCCAAATTACTTTGAACCATCTTTACTGCGGTACGTAGATAGACACTCTCTGACACTTCATTTTTCCAGTCAAAGTTTTAAGATATATTTGAACTAGGATCTCAAAACCCAAGGTCACTAAAGGATGTGCACCCAACTTCAAACCGTTGCTTTCTCCATGGACTTGTCATGAAACAACATACACATGTGTATGGCTGATTTCATATTACATCACATACACGGTGAAAACGCAATAGCATCAGAAATAATAGCAAAACGAGTGGGAACAACATGGAAAACAAACAATTTTAGTAAAGTAAATCCAACAGTGTTTGTAAGCAAGTAATCAGTTACCTGAGAGAAATGCGTAATCTAATAGGAAATTAAGACGATCCGCTGCCTCGGCCACTTCTTCCTTCAGTTTGAATACCAACGTATTGGACACGTCGCGCATGTAAGTTTGCAACTGAACCAAACTTTCAGTGTCCGGTGGAGTCTCACTCAATCGATTCATAATTTCATCGTAACGTCGACAAATTCTGCGGGATCAGTGTATAAAAGGAACCGCGTCAGGAATGCAATGTATGTGCAATGTACAGCTACATTCTTTAGGTTGACCTAGATCATTCAATACTAATACTAATAACGGTTCGTCATATGACTCCCAGTAGAGATACAAAACTGGTGCGTACTTCTGGCGAACCTAAAAATTAACGAAAACAAACTGCCACCAGTTCCATTTGACATTTTCATGAGAGCACCATAATCTATTGAATTCAGTTATTTTGAGGTAATCTCATCTGCTGCCTATATACATTCAGATTACGCTTAGTTGAAAAAGCGAAAAGTTTGGGAACAAGCAAGCATGCACAGGGAAGGGAGGAGGTCAAAGGTCACTGAATCGGATTGGGCACAGGGACACAGCTGATGAGGTTACCATGATATAATTGAATTTAATACATCCTATGAGCACGATGTTTCTTCTTGCTCTCATGAAGGTGGATCATTTTGTGGTACATTATTAATGCTAACCAATTGATTGATTAATTAACTGATCGGATTGTCCCTCGCACTCCGAATAGGCCTTTAAATCGGCACTTGTTATGTTTTTAGGAATGTTAAGGGAACCGTAACCCACTTTATGGTAGATTTAAACATTCTAAAACGATCAATAGCACAACTCACCCACGATTCACATCGCGATTTTCGTCCAGTTCGAACGAAATAAGTATATCTCGTAGTTTCCACACGCGATTGGCCAATTCTTCATTCACACTACGGCAATCCACACTAAATAGGCTGAGAGGAACAGACAGACGAAGCATAGTGATTTCACCACGTAGATCTTGGAAGCCCTCGATTTTCTAGACAGAAAATGAAAAGAGAACTGTGTTGGGGAGATTGCAAGAATTGGTTCACCTGGCAAAACGTGAACTAGATAGAATCACTGAACGAACTCAATAAAACGAGAACGAGACAGGACAGGTTGAGAACAAATTCGGTCACCTGTTGTACTACATTCAAACTAGAATTGAGCTGATCCACTAGAGCTGCATCGCTGGCCCATCCTTTGCCTTTGCGCTGATTTGAAAAAGAAACACAAATGACGTTTAGTATTCAACGACCATGCAAACATAGATACAAACTACCCCTGATTAGAGAAACAGCTGATTACACCGAAGCCCATGGTACGCTACTTACAAGTAATCAGATGGGATTTATGCATTTTTCTCATGTCTGAGTTACCTTTTTTACTGCCAGCAATGTGTGCCGGTCTTTTAGAAAAGTTCGCAATTCCAATTCAGCCTTGTTGTTCAACAAATTTCCGTAAGGTTTGTAAATTTCCAAATATTGTTTCGGTCCGACCGAATTAGCTCGAAATACGGTCATCGCTTTGTCCGTATACTCGACCACCAATTGTTCCCTGAAGGAGACCGATCGAAGGTACAAAGCGTGATTACGTAATTCCGGGAAGACGTCAACTTCAACCTGAAGCAAGGCGATAGAAAGAAAATGAAAAGATTCTGTCGGAATCAGAATAGAGGGGACAGTGCTTTTGTGGAATTGATATATATCGTCTAAGATTTGATCGGGAATCGAAACTTTCTTGGTTCCATCCCCAGTTAGGTCGATAGGTTCGCACTGCTGTGAGATCAGACCAGGTCGAAACAGCTGTCCAGTGCTTCCCAGCTTTTCAGCTCACACCTCATTTACATGACGAATCCATCAAAGAAACAACACAAATCCTCCATTACCATCTTGGTTATGCCGCATACATTGTTCATCTTAGTAATAATGGTTATCAAAATACCGGCCTTGAGGTCCCGAGTTCGAATACCCTTACAACCTCTGATTCTCACTATTTATGTTATTCTTCAGGAGGCCTTTGTATGGCAGCAGCTCCCTTACTGAAAGATAACTGTATATTTATATATGCAATCAATAAAAAAGGGAGTAAGAACAATAAAAGCAGCACCACATCTACCATATAATCTGCACATATTGATAATTTAAAAAAATAATTCAGAAATGTCGTTGCATGGTGATCTATGCGAGTTCGTTTTCCTAGATGTCTTCATGGCTAAGATGGAGAATATCATCCTCCAACAAAAAATCAAACACGGCGTATTATACGAGTAATACGTGTTTGACATTTTGTATTTTGTCGATGACAGTGTGAATCTGTCAAGACTCTTAAAATATATGAATCAGTATGTTCAAACATTAAGTTCACTTTAGCGAACGAAGAAAATGAGCAAATTGTGTTTCTGGACGTTTCACCAAGCTGTCGATCAGACGGAACTATCTAGTGCACCACTTACAGGAAGCCATCGTGAAATAATCAGTATATCCATTTCAAAAACGATCACATTGAAATGGAAAATAAAACTGATTCAGGGCCTAGCTGCCGGAGCGCGGAGAATATGCACTGGTGATTCCATTGGGAGAAATGAGATTCACCCGAGACAATTTCCTTCACAATGGATACCTAGACCGATTCGTGGACAACATTTTAAGGCATCACCAGTTGCCAATTAAGATCGCCACCATTGAGAAGAAAGCGGCTTACATATCACTAGTTTTTAAGGGTGACACAAATGCCGAAATTGTGACACTTAAACGGAGTACAGCTATGGAAAAAGTATTCTTCACAGCAAAACTTCGCATTGTATTCAGCTCCAGGCCACTTTGGTGCTTTAAACTTAAAGATTATTTGCCAGTCTGTTCAGTATTTTTCTGTGCACGTGCCTACTTGTTCCTGTGGGACAAGTTATATTGGTCGCACGAGCAGACGTTTATCTGAACGAGTCCGTAAGCACCACCCTACCTGGCTGAATAGTGGGGGGGGGGAGGATTAGGACTATCAACAGTTCAATCTTTTCACGCCTAAAGAAGTCAAACTACGTGGTTAATGTGTCCGAGACGTTTCAATCCCTCTAATAAGTTTGATCTAATGGGACTAGGAGTTGCATTCTGGTAACAACGGAATCAATCGGGATACGCATACATACTCCCCATGCTCCCCAAAAGAAATCGTGGGAATACTCGGTCTTCCATCGCCAATACACACGACACAATCACCCCTAATGATCCGAACAAACGAGTGTGTGATGACCAAAGTGTGAGCAACGTCCTGTCATGAAACTGAAATATTGATTAGTTCTCTTCCCATTTCGTCATGTCCCCCCCCCCCCNACTATTGTGTGTTCTTCTTACAAAGTGAATATTTTATTTATGAGACTCAAAATAAAATTCACCAGCTTTGCCTTGGACAACCTGGCAATATTCTAGTCACTAGCAGATCACGGATGCAATTCTTTGTCATGAACATTATTGTGCTTTGACCTGATTTGCACACAATTCGGACTCCGATGCGCGTGAAATATAATCAGAATTCAGTTATCAAAAAACTACATTTTCAGTTTAAGATGTTCGAAATTTAATTTAGGATGTCCGAAATCCAATTTAAGATGTTCGAGTATCAATTTAAGATGTCATGTTGCTATGTGGACAGTACCTTGCACAACACAGAATGAAAACATAGCAACATGACATCTTAAATTGTATTTCGAACATCTTAAACTGAAAAAGGTATGGTGAAAAAGTAAAAGTTTCCGGTTAGCGCCAAGAGCCCGGACTGTCTTTTCCATTGATCAACAAAACACAATTTATGGGCACCGGTGCGTTCAACTGTTGCGGTGTGAAAATGGCAGAAAATGTGCTAACTCTAGACCTAGTAACTGACATCATCATCTTCACCATCATCACCCCCAATCCCCACCACCACTGACACCGGTGTTGTTTGTTTGATGACCTTGTGGAACATACGGACGGCCCACAATGTGCACAAATACTTTTTCAAATGCAACATGAGATTCCCCATTACTGTGACCCTCGCAACAGCCAGTACATTTTACTCGATCTGATATTTGGCTGGTAGTTGGTTTTGTGTGACTAACAGAAATCAAAATAAGACTACAATATTAACAAGCAAAAACACCCAAGTAGCACTTAATGTCAGTGTGTAAGTACTAGACCTTATGATTTTCAATGGTAAAATCATTCGGCATCGGAACCATATATTCACACTCTTGTGCGATGTACGGCAGACGGGGCGAACCCGACGTCTGGAGGACTTGTTGTTCAGTCCTGGATACCATTTACCCAAGTCCTTGGCTTTGGAGTGCCGAACCACATAACGTCTCACTAGGTTAGGCTTGGTACTTTTCACGCGCATCCGCCACGTCTCTGAACTCTAATGAAGATAACCCCGTATGTGGTTACTAACTTTACCCGATCCGTATGAATGTAAATTGAGTTCATTAGAAAGCGAGCATTTTCGAAGTGATGAAACAGTTATCCAGAAGTAGTTTACATGCACCAACCAACAGACTGATCAACTTACTCTTGGTAGGCCTTCTGCGGCATCAGTTATTGCCTGAAAGCATCGTAAAATGCAATCTCGAGTTTCGCGAAATGTTGGCATGAATATAATTTTAGGGTCTGAGACTCGCAGACGAATCAAGAGCAACGGTCGCCGAAGGAACTTTAGCTCGTCATACGTATCTTCGAACGCATTACCATCCTACGTGGGAGAAACAAATAACAGTGCAATGTGAATATAAATTATTGGTGTAAGGGAACGACGATAAATGAGACAGTATATGAAAACAAATACTTGGCGTTCATCGGATAATAAAGTACAATAAAGCAGCCTTGAAGGCTGAATGATCCAGTAGAAGATATCTGCTCGATCGGTTTAACAACTTGTCAAATAACGTATGGTGCAAATATTAAAAAAAAAACTGTGAGCACTAGCAGTGCTACACTAGTTGCTAAAGGTTTTGCATTGCTGTGACGTGACCATGGTTCGAAAGATGAGAGACAGATAATGAACTGTGCCTTGTTTTCAACAGCTCTTGCAAAATTTTTGTGGTCTTATTTATTTTAGTTCAGGTTTGTGAGATGTAACCTCTCATATCCTATAGACAATTTTGCTTTTCATCAAATACATTGTGAAGCTTTATCACTTTTGATTTTGTTGATAAGTGTTAATCATTATCCCTAATGGTCATCCTTCAAACATCATCTTTACGCAAAACCCTCAGTTCATGCAGTCAATCATACACTCAACGACTAGCGAACAAGTGTAATGTCAATGAGACAATAATAATGATAGAAAGAGGTGATTTTGGTACAAATGAGAAAGATTTGACAAAAAACAACCACAGAGAAGAACAAGAACATGAACAATAATGGTAATGTTTTTTCACCATACACTTTTCGATGTGGTTTGTGTTTTCCTGGTGGCCCTCTTTGATTTCAGCCAGTATCAATACCGATCATCACTTCACTACTACATTAATCCTTTTTATAATTCTATATATCTTTACATATGGCGACATTGAGTAAAACATCGCTTATGGAAATGAATCTAATTGCTTTGGGTAATCTAAATCTTGGGAATTTCTGAGGGTGCGACATCCAATGAGCTAGAAATTGTTCGACAATTTTAGTCACAACGAGTATAAGAAACTCCGGACGACATGTATTTCTATTTGTTCTCAGACCTAAACAAGAACGTACCTAGTACGAATCTTCTGCTAAAGACTCATGAGTCCTCTCGGAAGAATGTTCCGTTTTTTGGCCTAACAATATCACTTTGTAGATTCCTTCAGGTTATAGCTGTTAGAGTGTGAATTTGAATAAACCTCGTGTATTTCACTTGTTTAGTTCACCATCAAAAGATAACCATTCAGGTTTCTTGAAACATCATTAGCAAGATTATTTCAGCGTTGTAATTAGGTTTGGTTATGTGTAGTTTAGGTATCAGCACAGCTGGTACACTTTACTAGACTCGATGACAAATCGCGGACGAGAAAAAAAGTCACTCACATAACACTTTATCAGTCAGCCACGGCCAGGAAAATACTCTAAAACATAAATTACGGTGTCAACACTATACCTTTTCAACTTCAAGTGAATCCAACCAATTGCACTCCATTGGAAAACCCACAAGATTATTGGTGTTTCGGCCATCAAATGTCACTGATTGGACCGGGTCTGTCTAAACCCCGTCCAGTCCGAATGAACTGACTTCTCCGTAAACAAACAAAAGTTCTTTTAGAGTGAGCGATCGAGCGAGGATGAATGTTTCGGTGGGGTGAGATGGGCCGTTCTCCCTCCCCCTCCCCACACACACATCCGTTCCACCCGGGAATGGTATGCTCGTGATCGTTGATCGAGTGTGCGTCATAGCTACAAATGAACGAACTTGGAGTTGATTGACCTCTATCGGTCGGGTAAGGAAACGAATCACGTCAAGATGGATCCATAAGTCGGTCACCATGCCCAGACGTGAATGTGAGCATGATTCATTGCGTGAGTAGAATCAGTCTAAGCCCTGAATAACCCAACGAGTAAATTCCATTGCGACCGAGTTTCTCTCGAATAAAACCGATTCCTTTGAATCAAATTTGATTGCTTACGTATTTTTGACATTGAAATGGACACTGAACAAGATACTTAACAATGGTAATAATGGTAACAAGGATGAAAAAAGTAACACTATTTCAGCCGAATAGTAGGAACCTATTCACTAGCTAACATAAATCACGCCATTTTCCCTGTCATTCCCTGGCTGATAAATACATTCAATCCACAATGCCAATTGCAACAATCTAATACCTGCGGCTCTTGCCTTCGCTAATCAGCTTCATCGCATAGGTTCTTATCATTATTATATCATTTTTCAACCCGTCGAATCTTTTTACACACTGATTACATCTGTGCGATCATTTGTAGTTTAGGGAATGAGACAGATGGTGATATGTATGAGTTAGCTACCCATGATCCCACAGGCAATGATAACTCCTGTACTGGGTGCTCCATGGGTTATTAAGTAGAGGTTGATAAAATATTCTTCCCACGGTTGTCTTAATACTAAATGTCGAATAAGGCAAAGGTTCAGTGGCACCGCGGATGACACTTTGCAGTTTATTTCCCATATGTGTGGTACCACGAAAGATTGTGTAAACGAGCTACGTATCTACTCTGAACTGAGCTGGGCGGTTGTGTAGACATTTCACATTATTACTCAACTTCTCTGTATTCACTGGAGTCTTCCGGATTATATCCATTCCGCTCTGAACCAGCCCGGTTTGTGGTAAATAGTGCAATTTTTCACAGATAAACTTGTCGGGTTTTATTTTAGTGGATTAGGACGGTTGATTTGTTCGCACGATTACTGAAAACTCAAACTTGATGAGTTCAGTCAGAACAAATCTGATTTGTCATCTTTCTTTGCGAAAAGTTCAGTAGCATCGGTGGGATTCGAACCCATGCATGGACGCCGCCTACGCTTTGTACGCGCGCCCTACCAGCTGAACTACGAGGCCGCACCAACAGTACTGATCTTTTCACATTCGAATTACCCATCGAATAGCGAAGGATTGAAGTTGGTTTCTTCCATCCCTATAATCTCATGTTTAAGAGCCTCTTACCTTTGCCAGCGTTGAACATATCCAGGAAGAAATTACTCAAAAGTACATCGTTATATTGCACTTCCTCTTCTCTTCATTATACATTAGGCTCATCAAATCGTGTCCACTTCACACATGTTACCTGGCTTTGCCCTATCCATTTATTCTGATCTGATAGCTTGTTGTCCGCTGAATATTTAGCACACACGTTCATTCACTGCCAGTTTAAGCGAATAAAGCTCTGTATGGCTAATAACAGGTGGGCATATGCAAAACGTGCCCTAGCCAGCGAACCCTACCAGTCTGAATTCAATGAGCAAGTCGATTTATACCTGGTAAACACCCAAACACACGACGGCTTAGCTCAAGAATACTCGTTCGCGCGGGCTAAACTAAGGAAACACCGATAATCGAAATACGTCTACGAAAAAAATGGAACAGGAATCGCGAACTAGGGTGTCCTTGACGAACGCCGCTGCTGGTGACGAACCGCCTACATAATTCGTTGTAGTCCCTCACTCGACCTGAGGTGAGTATAGTGACCTCAGTGAATTAGAGTACTTCGGTTTTTCACAGGCACCATCAACAGTGCCTGGTGCCTGGGAAAAACCGAATGGGCTAATCCAAACATTCACCATCTAAATTACAATGGATTCGTTTGAAGTTACGGCGGATTCACTTAACGTTGAAAAGGTAGTTCACAGGCTGGCCGCGATCTTTTAAATCTTTTAAAATAGTCCCATACAGGTTTGATTTAAGCAGCTAACTTCTTGAATTGGCATAGTATATTACTGTATGTATGTCCTCAAATATGTTTGTAGCTGACTCATTCCACTGATGCACAGGCGTAGCGTTCATGACTTATCCGATCGTCGAGTCTGTGAGCGTCCAGATGTGCGGGTCACATGGCATATCTTCTAGCCCACATACATGTGACATGATAGTGAGGTATTCGGTATGCTTGGGCTTTTAATCTTGTCTTGGTTGACCCAGGGACCCAAATCACGTGCGCAGCATCCTCAAACGAGAGCCTACCGTTGCTAACGCATCAACAAGAATGACAGAACATAAAAGGGTGGGATACAAAACCTAGTAAACAGGGAAGGGGGTCAAACAGTCAAGGTGAATAACAAGATTAACCTTTTTTGGTTTGTTTCATCGTACACTTTTGGTATTTTTGTGTTTTAGTTTAGCATTTTTTTGTTGGGGGAGGGGCGTGGGATTTCAATAGGCGAACCGTACAGCATTCGCTCCCCTGACTTCTATTCTGGGCCATATCTCTTTTCGTCTCTAACCAAAGACAATCCTCACCTTTTGGACCCAAACCTGGAAGGTGGGTTGCATCAACCGAAGCCGAAGGTGAGGCCTAGCTTCTTCATACATCTAAGTCATGCGATCGACTGACCGCCGAGATGTTTCTTCCAGTTTGGCTCAGTATGTGCACGGAAAGGTAGACGGTTGGCAGGCATACGCAAAACGTAACCAGGCCATCAGAGGCGGTGTAGAGCGATCACTTCTTTTAGGAACGACCATCCCAACACCCAACATACGACGATGAACGTCGTCATTCCTCACCCGATGTTCCCACCAGACACAAACAATGCTTCGGAGACGTCGGTGGTCGAATACAGAAAGTCGATTAGCATTTTCAACTTGGAAGGGTCAAGTCTCGCAACCATAAAACAGAACATTAAGAACCGCTGAGATGTACACCCTTCCCTGGATGGACAAACGGACATCATGGCAGCCTCACTGATGTCAAAGTCAGTTTTATTATGGGGAATACCTTCAAGCGGTTGCTTTTCATGTCCCATAGGGCTTTTCGCACAAGTGGATCGATTTAGGATTCATAGAAAGATAAGGAAAGCCACAGATTCTCTTTGTTTCATGCCCTACTACGGATGTCGAAATTTAAGACTTGGAACTGTTTTATCCAGTTAGTGCTTAAAGGAATCAATTGTGGGCGCAGGAACAACAAAAGCTGCTCTAGCTTTCCCTATTTCTGATGTGATCTCCTAACCCACACCGCCTCCTGCTGCGATCAAGCTCCCTAGGTCCTTGAAGCTCTCTGCCATTTCCAGCTGATCACCACAGAGGGTGACTGCAGGCACAGGCTCCTATCAGTCTTGAATAACCACTTTGCATTTGGACGGCGTATAGCAAACACCATACCTGGATACCTTGTGCGTCAAGCGGTTCAAAGCGTGCTGGACTGTCTGCGTGATTTCATCGGCATATTCTAAGTCGATAACTCCGTCCCCTGGGGGCAGTTCGACTCCACCGTTTGATAAATCGGACAAAGTTTTCTGTATACTGTATGGCAAATTTTAAAGAGTCCATTTGATGGGTTATCTAAATCTAATAATTTCCTTCATGTTTTGTTTAAATGTGTAACACGGAAGGATGTTATCCGTAATTCATTTCCGAGCTTTGATATTTTTAATACGCTTTTAACCATATTCGCTTACCTGATCAGAAGTTGACAGAAATACGACATTGAACTGGGCAACATACGATCACGATACCTCATTTTATACCCAATCTTTACAGCATAAACATTTTTAAAATGTAAAATGTTCCACCATCCGTTGACCTCAGAATATTTCTATACTTTTTGATCTGACTCGCCCACAGCGGCATGACTAAATTCTCATGTGTCGAGGTTAAAGGACTACGGATCGTAATCCCGAAACGTTGCAGGTTTCGGATAAAGCAATGTGTGCCAAGACCAAGGGATAGTGGATCGAGGCTGAGGCGTTGCGGGTGTTGGCGAATGCTTTACGCGAAAACTTGTCAATCACGTACTGTATTTTTTGCTGTCATTCTTGTACTCCTTTCTTCACTGGTCATCTAATTGGGTTGAAGAAGTACAGTAATCAAAACCAGCGCATGGAAGTTCAATTTTGAACAATGAGTAGCAAGGTGACACATGTGACTCCCCTCCTAAGACACAGTGATCATGCAGTACTCAGATTCAAATCTATTTATTTCGCCTCTATTCCAGTAAGTTACCCAGATGACACGCGCGGATCCATTGATTATACACTGTTGCAAAACTTGGCGCTCTCAACTCAGTGGGTTTCCTATAACTAAGATCCCAATCCGTTGGTCTCCTGGCACAAATTTATTGACACACAAACCTACTAAAATCAGTGNCACCTATTTGAAGCCGCACGAGGTAATCGATATCCTGGCGAGATTATAAGCTTCTTCCGGATGTTTTCACTTGGAATAATTGTCGTACGCTGAGAAACTACTGCACCAGGCTGATCCTTGAGGATAAGCTGATGTACCAAGAAGCACTAGTACAGAGATTCATCTGCAATCCTAAGTTATTGTTTGAGTACGTTAACTCAATTCGGAAAGTGAACTTTGGCCTACCGACACTATGCTGCACTGGGAGAGTTGCAGCTATTCCAACCGAAATACTAGAAACTCAGTATTTCAAAGATTTTGCTGCACCACATGTTGAAGGTCTACAGCTCCCTCCCCGGTTGTATCATATTCCATATCCTACTCTGATCACCGTAATATGGACTAGTGAAAATGTCGAAGCAAAACTAATGGCTTTGTGAAGAAATGCAATTCCAGGTGAAATGCTTGCAAGTAGTTCCCATCATAAAACTTTGACTTTGACTTTGAATTAGAAATGCACTACAAGTGCATTCAATCGATAAAATCAATAAAAATGGATTCTATTACTCTTCTTTGTGTTTTTCAAGCCACATCCACCACGCTTCGCCAACTTAACATTCGCATTTTGAAAATTGGACTCTAGTGTTTCCCATACTTTGGCCAGTACCTACGCTGACGAAAAGTTTACTACAGATACAGCAAAAAGGTCTTTCCGGTACGGTGGCTATTGTGCCTACTCGATGAACCAATAAATCGAATATCTGCGTGGAATACCATCTACCATTTTAATTTGCTTTTTTTATTTCACAAACGCGATGATGTGTCAATCGCCATCAAGTTTCCTTTTTAAGCGTTCGTTGATCCTGAGCTCAATATCTCTTGTGGCCTTGCTTGTAACCATCCGCGCGTCATTCACTTGCAGACCAACACATCTGCCTGTCCCAATGACTGATCGAACTCACTACCACCCACATGCATTTTGGGACCAAAATAACATGTAAAAGGGTTTTGTTCGCCGTTTGTGTTTTCTCTTGAGCAGGCTTAATTACCATTTGCTGCAGCTTTATTCAAGCCCCTTTTAAGCCATTAAGATCATAGATACCTACTTTTTCTGATGTATAGCAAACGTGAAGTCATGTATACTGCTTTAGATGATGAATGTTTGGATAAGCCCATTCGGTTTTTCACAGGCATCAGGCACTGTTGATGATGTTCGGTGTGGGGTTCACTCCTTGGGAGATCGTAATTCCCCACTATTTGAAACAGCGGTCCAGTGCTCTTTGTCGGTTATCACAAACATTTCCACCACATTTAAATGTATACTGTTCACGTCAAACTAAGCAAATTTCATATATATTGTATTTATTACAGAAAACAAACCATAAGTTTATGAACGGAAATTTTGAGGAAGTTCGAATGGTTTACCCTCTCAAACACAAGCATGCGAAGCTGCTCTATCAGCTATTAACGAGTGTCAACTTCTTACCACGACTTGCTCACCTGATGCTCTTGTAGCAATTCGAGCAAATCTTTTAAGGACTGATCCACGATGCTTCTCAGTTGTTTAGACATTAAAGCTGCAATACAGGCGAAGAATGCACGAACGGCTTCAGAACTGTCGGACGATCGTTGGGGGAGTAAATGAACCCAAGTATGTCGCAACTCGATGAACGCATTTGCACATTTTGGAATCCAACTGGAGATCAATGGAATCGGAATTTCAATGAACTTATTTTACTACTCGCGAGTAATAAAAAGTTATAACTAAAATTCAAACAACCAGAATTGTCAAATGGGTAAAAGCCGACTCGGAACATTTCATTTAATCAAATCGGAGTTAACATTTTATAGCTCTGTCCGCAGGAGGATTGCTACTGGTTATAAAATATAAGGTAATAAATATTTCTGAATCACCCTAATGAAAAGTAAAGCACCCTTGGAAGAGGTTTATTTCTAACAGAGAACCTCGAAAATTGTATTAGTTTAAGAACCCTGTGAGTAAATATTCCCAACTCTTGTAATTCATCTGTAAAAGTATCTTTTCAGGATTACTGATTATTCAAAAGTAATAGAAAGTGTGATGCAAAATTTATTTATTAAGAGTAGCTCGATCATGTATATACCCAGGTATAATTCCGAAACCTATGATGAAGTCTAGGACAAATTGCCTTTCTCTATTAGTTTTATGGTTCCGTTGCTAATCAGAGCAAACCTACACATACACACTATATTTTGAAAAGCGAAACCAAATACTCTAAATTCCGTTTAATTTGTCACAAGTACAGTTTATCGTAACTCGCGCTCACTTGGTGCGAAGTAATTCTCGCGTTCGGTTGCACTGAGTGGTAATCAATGACTCGAATGCGGACGGTTCGACTGGTTCGTCCAGTTCCCGTAGGCTTTCCACTTGTACAAAGCGTAGTTGTGAAAATCTGATGGTAACGTGAAAAGAGGGCGAGTGGAACCAGCAATAGGATGAACAAAAAGAAACAGCATTCCTAAATTGAACAATTCAAGGATTGATATCAGTCGGTTTCAGCGAATCAGACAGCCAGTGAGTCCGATTTTCAGAAGTCTCAATGTTTCGTATTGATTGTTTTAACATATATACAAATATTTGTTGTCAATGGAATGCCCAGGGATCAAACGTCTTAGGTTTGAAAAATTAGTGATAAGCATCTTTGCTGTCTTCCCGAATTTTTCAAGACTAGACTGCTGGTGCTTCATATGGTTAACCACTCCGAATCCCACTCTGAATCCCATAATCGAACTGTGGGTCCGCATGAATACAGAGATATCGTAGAGATTACAGTGATATCCACGATGTATTCTTTCCAAATTGGTATTATGCCACAGTCCATAAAATATATTGACGGAGAATGGTCTCAGTTCGGTGATCCCACAAAATGCCGATAGTTTTCTTTGAAGTTCACAAAGTTTAGTTATCCATCCGGCTCATTCTCTAACATTTAAAGTTGCCAGTCATTTAAGGTAACGCATTTTCAATTTAATGATTTCAGATTAGAAATCTCAGGCACAGAATTTTAAATGGCATAGAGAATATGTGCTCAAAAATTGGACATAGTTTAGCAGTTATCTGGTTGTTATTTTTCCCATTTGTTTTGTGAGCGCCGAATCATGTCANTAAATTACACCACTTACGGAATTCGGCCTGTTCACTCTCATTTTACCTATTGTGAATTTAAAAATTGTGTATGATAGGAAAACCTCCTAATCAGGACCAGTAATATAGTCTCATCAGACCATCAATTGCTCCGTTCACGTATCATCCGACTATCTGATCTAACCTCGTAGGCATTGTCCGCGTGCCATTTAGGAATATTCACAATGAATGAAATGACAACCGTTTACTTCTCCTCCTTCTCCTCCTCCTGATCATCATCATAATCATCATCATCATCATCATCATCATCATCATCATCATCATCATCA